GTGGTGGGGGGGGGGGGGGGGGGGGGGGGGGGGGAGGGGGAGGCGTGTGTGTGTCTATCCCAGATCTTTAACTTCCATTTCTCTCCCTTTCTTTACAGTTCATAATCTATGCGGCCTACTTTGCAGTCATATCAGCTGTGTTCTTGGTCAGTGGTATGTACAGTATTATGAAGAATTACAGAAGACAGAAGGACATGCAAAGCGTAACTGCAAATCCTAAATGCACTGAGGACTCTCTTGGAAATGAAGTATGAAGATATAGGTCTATTTATTAGTCTCTGCCACTCTTTCCAAGGCAATCTGAATTGTACTTGAAATGTGTTCATACTATATTAGTAGCTTGCTTTAGAAGGAAAAGTTATTTAATTAGACCTTATGTAAGTAAGAACAAAGTATCTTCTCACATGCCTTTTATACTTCAGTTGCATATGTGGGGAGGTACAAGAAGTTTGCTCAAGAAATGAAAGACTAATGAGATCTTAGTCCTGGCACGTGATCCTCAATATCATCCTTAAATATAAGGATATAAGAGTATAAATGTAACCATTGTACATCTGCCAGTCTTTGAGCAAGAAAAGCCCAGCTGTGCTGCAGGGCAGCAATGCAGGGCACTGGCAGAGCTGTGCGGGGAGCCCAGGGCTGGAATAGCAGAGGGTGCTGCAGATTAGGAGTAAGACACTGCGCCTGTCCTGTGCTGTCAGACGCACACCAATGAGCACTAAATACACTTTAGACTTAGTCTGTATATATGCATTTCCTCATCCTGCATGTGTTATTTCTGCCCCTGGAGTCATTCCAGCTGCTGGTGTTGCAAGACATAGCTGGTCATGGGTAACTTCCCTCAAGAGCTTTAATGTGTTCTGGATTAACTTGCTGACATCAATGAGTTGGCTGTCAGCAATGTTTTGTTGCACTATGAAAATTGTGTTCTCTTACTTAGAAGAGAATACAGTTCCAGAGGTAAGCTAATGTGCTCTCTGGCATAGAGAATGCTGATCCCGTGGGCCAGGGAAGGTCTTCTAGCCTCTTATTCTTTCGGACTCTGGACTCCTGTGATGCAAAGCCATTGACCCTGAACTGCTGTGGAGGGGGCCAGGGTCAAACACTGAGTAGAGAACAAAACTGACATCAGGGTTTTTTTTTTTCTTATGGCGGAGGGGGGAGGGGGCAGATCTTTAGTTGTTGCCATAATGGCTCCTGGGGTTTATGACTGGACCCTTAATTACAATGTAATGGTTATCAGCAGTGAGCTAGTCTTCAAAACGCTCATTTCTTTGGCATTTTTCCTTTTGACAAGTTACCAGTAGATGAAGTCCTTCACTTAAGTGACAAGCAAGTGTGATCCTTCTGAAAACCCCACCTGTGGCTTTTGCTTCTGAAGAATTTAGCACTTCCCTGATCTCTGGTTTGACAAAGGGTTTCATAGAATCATAGAAAATTAGGGTTAGAATGGACCTAAGGAGGTCACCTAGTCCAACCCCCTGCTCAAAGCAGGACCAGTCCCAACTAGATCTTCCCAGCCAAGGCTTTGTCTAGCCGGGTCTTGAAAACTTCTGAAGATGACAACCTCCACAACCTCTCTGGGTAACCTGTTCTAGTGCTTTTCCGCCCCCCTGGTGAGACTTTTCCTAATCATTGAATCATAGAAGTAGGGTCAGAAGGGACCTTGTAGATCTTCAAGTCTAACCCCTCGCCTGGGCAGGAGAGAAAAAACTGGGCTCAAATGACTCCAGCCAGGTAGGCATCAAGTCTCTTCTTAAAGATCCCCAGGGTAGGAGCCAGCACCACTTCCCTTGGAAGTTGGTTCCAGATCCTAGCCGCCCTAACTGTGAAGTAGTTCTTGCGGATGTCTAATCTAAACCTACTCTCCAA